AAAAAAAAACCAATAGAACCCCTCCCAAAACACAATTACAAATTTAATGGATTTCAGGGTTATAATGGGAATTGTATTGGTTTTAATGTAAACTATAATGGTGTCTATTTGATGGATTCTATTGGTGGGATGTAATCTGGCAGATGGCAACCAATAGAACAACAGTAATTCCTATTGGAATAATGCCCAAAACAAAAAGGAATTTTGTTATGGTTTAATGGAAACTATAAGAATTTCTGTGATGGTTTCTATTGTTTTTTTCAGCAGGGTAATGATACCCATACTGTGCTGCACATTATTGACAATATTGAGCTGAAGCTTGACTTTGCAAATTTAAAATCGTAAATCAAATCGCAATATCTGTCAAAAAAATCGCAATTTGATATTTCCCCCCAAATCGCACAGCCCTAGTGTGCATGTATGTGTCCATTACCTTGACAGCGAAGCTGCATTTGCCCTCGCGTACGGCCTCCTCGTCTGTCTGCCACTGGTGTGGCCGGCTGGACTCTGGCACATAAATGTCTTTCTTTCTCCGGAAACTCTGCCGTAGCTTATTCATTGCTCAGCCTCCTCCTGCAGACAGACAGAGAGAGAGTCGTTTCAGACAGATCCCAACACACCTTTGAAAGAGACAGACGTCTGGTTATCTTGTCCATTAATGATTGAAAATTCCGAAATTATTGGTAAAACTAAATACACATTATTTCACATAATTGAATACCCTTATCTTGGTACTAGTTATCTCAGTATCTAAGCTTCAGGAGGTCAATACCAGCAGCAGTACAGCTCAGATACCACATCGAGTGATTACTAATCATACAGTAGAAACAATGGCATCGTTACCTTAAATTTTTGTGGTCAACCAATATGGGTCTTTTCGATGTCCAATGCTGATATTTTGGAGAGAAGGGTGGGTGATGGCTGATATAAAGCGGACTATTGAAAGATTATAAATAACACGTGCTGCAATTAAATTTACATTTATTTTATATAATATTCACTAAATTAGAAATAAATCGTTTGAAAATTATTCAATAGGAAGAACAAAACAGCTAAATAAACAGATTTATACTTAAATGGACAGTTCACCCCAAAATTTTTTTTTAATCATCCTCATGTTGTTCCAAAACTGTATGATTTTGGAGAATATTGGTAAGCAAACAGTTGACGGTAGCCATTGAGTTCCATAATATTTTTATCTATACAATGCAAGACAATGGCTACGGTCAACTGTTTGATTACCAACATTCTTCAAAATATCTATTTTTTTATGTGTGTGTGTGTGTGTTCAACCGCTGAAAGAAATTCATATAGGTTTGGAACAACATGAGGCTGAGTAAATGATGACAAAATGTTCATTTTTGGGTGAACTATCCCTTTAAAGGGGTCATATGATGCGAATTCAAGTTTTCCCGTCATATGACCCCTTTAAGGAACTTCTTGATTTTGTAATCCTATAATAGTATTTTTCACAAATAAATAAATAAATAAAAACAGATTTAAAAGTAAGTAAATACTGTAATCAACAGTGCACTCAGTAAGTAGTAACTGGGAATCATATTTTCTCATATAAAGACCAAGTATACAGCACATACAGTGAATATGACACAGCATCCATCTGGATACAGCACAGTATAGTTTCAAATCAAAGATTTAAAGTTTGGATGGATGGTCACACAACACACAAACAGTACATGCGATTTTATGCAAGCTTCAAATGCAGACGATCTAACAGCTGGATTCAGGTATTGGTGTCCTCAGCGCTGTCAAAATAAAAGTCCCACGGCCAACAACAACAAAACAAAAAAAAACTAACTGGCCAATGCTGATAATTAAAATATGCTTAGCACAGAAGTAGCTGTTCTTCTGAGACGACTACTAGAAGTGTTTATTGTAGCAGTGTAGAGCAAGGAGTTTCACATTTACCTGTCTATTTATCACACACACAATAATTCTCTCTCGCTAACACAAAAGTGAACAAGATCCGAGCAGCATTCACCCCTGAATGCAGCAGCGCGGAGTGCGGAGTCACATCAGAGCTGCTTCAGTCAGTCAGTCAGTCACCTGTAGAGCCAGACAGCAGACAGACTCAGTTTCAAAGAGAGCAGCACTGAAACAGGAAGCTCAGATTGCAATAGCATAACATGACGCTCATTTGAATGAGCCAGGAGAGATGCGTAACCACACACACACACACACACACACACACACAGGCAGTGACAAACAGCTTGTCTTGAAAGGAGGAAAACACAATAGCACATTAGCATGAGAAGACAGAAATAAAAACCACACACACACGCACAGGTTTGCAACTGTAACCAAATATAATTACACACATATATATATGCCATATTTGATTACTTGGATTTTTACAATTATTCTATTCAGCAAGAATAAAATACATTTATTTTAAACAAATGCTGCAACCTCCCACTTCTCAAAGAACCATAAAAAAATGTATCACAATTTTCTTCAAAAATATGTGGCAGCAAAAGCTGTTCAACATTGATAATAATCAGAAATGTTTCTTGAGCAGCAAATCAGCATATTATGGCGCTTTTCCACTGTGTGGTACGACTCGGCTCGGTACAAAACTTTTTGGTTGTTAAAAAAAAGGTGCGCTTGTTCAAAACAGTTGCGTTCGATCCTTCGCTGGCTGTGCTGATTTAAATCTAGCGGTTTTGTTGTGTTTGTGTCGCAAGTTCAGTGACGCAGGTAGTGACGATTCTCTCCGGCCAATCCGTGATCAGCAGAGTTTACACGTCACGTTTTGGTAACGATACGGTTCACTTGGAACCCCAACCGAGGTGGTACTAAAAAAAGTACCAGGTACTTGGTACTGTACCCAGTGGTAAAACCCCCAAAAGTGAACCATACCGAGCCGTACTGTGCCGTACCATGCAGTGGAAAAGCGCCATTATAATGATTTCTGAAGGATCATGTGACACTGAAGACTGGAGTAATGATGCTGAAAATTCAGCTTTCATCACCGCAATCAGTTACATTTTAAAATGCATTCAAATAGAAAACACTTACTTTAAGTTAAAATATTACTTCACAATATTTACTGTATTTTTAATTAAATAAATGCAGTCGTGGTGAGCAGAAGAGACCTCTTTGCAAACTTTTGAATGGTATTGTATATAAACCGGGACTCGTCGTGAGCAGCAGCTCCTCTGTCACCACATAACTATTCTTTCCCAGTGTGAAAATACAGTATTTAGGTCAGACTGACTGCAGGCAAAGCTCCGTCACTGATGCTGCGGAGGAGACATGATGAAACACACCACTCCACAGATTTCTGCCACTACTCATCACTGAAGTCTCCTCTCTGCTGACATTACTCTCTCCGTGCGTTCTGTTAGTCGTAATAGATGCTCCTGCCGTTATTGGTGGGCTGTGTAACTGGCCAAAGCTTATGAAAACGTCACATCTGGGCTGTGATGCCCGGATAAGTCAATCTAATTGCTGCTGGGGAAAGCATCATCAGCAGAAGGACATAATGAGCTGTATAAACAAGATAGAATGAAAGATCAATTAATAAATCAAACTAGGGCTGCCACTAATGACTATTTATTTCGATTAATCTATCGACTAATTTATCGATTAATCTAAACAATTAATTTCCCACACAGAAAAAAGTAAAGTGCAACATAAAGTCCATCTCATAGTCCAAATCACTGAAATCAAAGTTCAGTATTATAGTGTAAGAATGACAACATATCCACGTGTTATAGTTTACTAATATTAAAGGGGTCATATGATGCTTTTTTAAAGATCATTATTTTGTGTATTTGGTGTAACAGAATATGTTGACATGCTTTAATGTTCAAAAAACATTATTTTTCAAATACTGTACATTATTGTAGGTCCTCTATGCCCCGCCTCTCTCAAACGCTTCGTTTTCTACAAAGCCCCCTCCTT